TAACGGTACCGGTACCTATTCCTTTAATTTAGGCCTACTAGTACTGTAGTACTTTATAAATGAAAAAATTGTTGTATAATTAGAGCATACCAATATAATGGTTTTTTACACCTATAAGTTAAAATTACAGTACGGTAGCTTATTTTCTGTCATCTTAGTTTAAATTAGGAAGTAACCTTAAGTAGACATGGAAGTGTTTTAAAAGCGTTGAGGATACCATATTTGAATTCAGAAACTCTTTGGGGATTAGGAATTTTCATCCCTAGAAACCAAATGTTACAGACACATTCTTAGAATAACTCTACAGTTGAATAGAATGTTATGTGTCAAGGCTAAATTGATGATTATGAGATCATCCTAAAAAGAATAAGTTTATGTTATCTAGTCACAAAGAATCCTCAGGTCTTTGAGTCTGTTACTTAAGCTCCTAACTTATTTTTTTGTTTATTTGGTTTAGGCTTAAGTATTTGATTCATTTTCATTCATTTTAGCTGAATTTCCCAGAAGGAAGTTAGCTAACTTATTACTACAGTCAGTAATTACAGCTTAGCAATGTATACAGAGTCACTATTTTAAAGATTATTTTGAACCACTGAAAATTGGATCAGTCTGCTAAGCTTATTTCCTGTGACTGACAAGTTAAGTTAGCCTATTTGCTTTACATTAAAACCCATGGCCTGAGATCAAATGGATACATTCATTAGGTGATAAAATGACAGGTGACACTATGATAAACTGTAATTTCACAATATTAATGTGCAAGGTTCATGAAAAAAACAATGTTTTTGAAATCTTATTACAGCTTGGCAGTTGATGTTTAGACCCAAACAAAAGTTTAGTTGTTAATTTGTAGTTATTTTGAGTGTTTGTTGTAGTTTAGCCAAGTTTTTTTGGCTCCTATTAATGTATAGATTAAGATTTCTACTAATGGGCTGTTAATTCCTTGCTATATTTATAAGATTTCAGTTAAAACTGGCCTTTGGCAGATAATGTTTATGGAGCCTAGTCCATTGTTATTATAAGATTTTGATGTTGTTTGAAGGGTGGCCAATATGTTATTGTTATATCAAGATACTATGGTAATCGTAGTGGTCTTTTATGCTTTAAAAGGCTTAAAATAAATTATATTTTATAGTTTAAAATGAAAATAACATTGGCGTGGGGTAACATAACCTAACCAAAACAGACACACCGGAGTTTCTTGTTTAGGCAGTTGCTGGAAGATCTCAGGATTTCTGAAAGCGTAAAGCATTCTGAAGCTAAAGAAATTTTAATTCATGACTCACCAACCGAAGAAACTAGACGTCAAATTAAATAAATCCCATAATTTGGCACCATATAAACACAAACGCACCTACGCACGCGCACTCACAAATAGTACTAACAACAAGTCTAACAATCAGTTGGAGAAGAAAAACGCATGGAGTAAACATAGGCTTCAGCAGCTTTTTTCCAAACAGTATATATGAATAAAATATGCGTATGTTTGTAAAATTGATTGGAATTTATTTTTCTTCAGCTTGTGACGCTTAAGGTCATGCAAGTAGACTTTTCGTATTTTTTTAATCCAAAGCATACATTTATTCATACTAGACAATCTACATTGATACTAGACTGGGACGGTCGGTGACGTCTTAATGTGGTGGTGGTTTAGTTCAACTTGGCTTGTATTTGTTGATCCTACTACTAGGAAGTAACGAATTGGTGATATTTATAGGCATGCACTGTGGATGAGATACTCTGGTGTGGATTAACGTACGCACCAGTGGGTACCGTACTATATACGACTATCCGATCGCAGTACTTCTCTTGATAATTAGACCAATTCGTTAATTATGTATCAAATATTTAATTATTGATCGCACTAACTATCAATCTCAACTCAACTCTCCTGTAAAATGGCGTTTGCCGTGTATGTAATAAATAAATAAATAAATTACCAAGGAGAAATATGATCGGATTCTAATATAAACTGTAGGACCCTAAGTTTGCCATTGGCTGTATTGGGCTATTAACTAACAGCTGGGTAGTGTGTCTAAGGGAAAATGTCGGACTTATAGTCACTAACAAGACTATAATATCGCACCACTTATCCCCATTCATACTTGACTATACATATTAGCCTACATTAGTATGGTCGCCAGCGGCGTCGCCAAAGAGGGGTAGGGGGAGCCAGCTCCCCCCTCAAACATCTTTGAAAAGTGTAAAAGTTGAGGTTGAGAACTTTTTGGTATTTTAAGGAATATGAGTTAGGATTTTGGGAGATTTGTAACTGCCGTTTAACTGTAGACTTGCAGGTTGATTTTCGAACTAAGCAGACATCTTACCTTTATGGAGGAAACTAATAATAAGAAAAAAAGTGTCAGAAAATTCATATGTTGAGTTTGAGTAACTAAAGTACCTACTTTACCTACGTGTACGTGACGTAACTTATATGTAGTAGGCCTACGCAGAAGTAATTCAATGGGTCTGACTTAGGGGAGGTACAAATGAGGCATTTAGTTCAAAATTCCTCCGTGAACAGCGCTGTAGTAGAGAGCACTTTGGCAATGAAGGTTTTACTAATCGCAAAAATAATTCTGTTCATAAAATAAAATTATAAATGCCTCAAATTCAATTTTATTATTTTTAAATTATAAAATTAAACTATCATAACCTAACCGAACTAACCAAACTTGCTGATAAATAAATAATATACCGGTAACAAAAGTTTAGTAATCAGAAAAATAATTCTGTTTATTAAATAAAACTAGAAATTGCTCAATTAAAATTTTATAATGACTTAATAATAAAATTAAACTGTAATAACCAAACCAAACCAACCATACTTGCTGATAATAAAAAAATCTTGGACAAAAAGTTAATGCTACCAGCGGGATTCGAACCCGGGACCTACAGAATATCAGCCCGGCACGCTGACCATTAGACCACCGAGGCCGTTGGCTATCAATCGTTTTGTTACGGTAATGGCGTTCCCTCAGCTAATAAGAAGCCCTCAGCTGTCATCGTAGCCTCTTCTATACCTCCCCTGAGTAAATACCGTAATTCAATGCTTTTTAGATCAACTTCTTTTTGAGCTGCGCCTGGATATGTATATATATCCACTGAGTGTTTATTAAAAATTGATTTTTGAGAAGCTGTAAAATTAATATATTATTTTATCACTAGACCTAAAGTGTGAACATTTGACACACTTCGGACACAATCAAAAATGAAGATTGACAGCCAAATCAAATGATGTAAGTGACACCTACATTTCTTATTTGTGTATGTCTGATACAGATATTAAAGAACACTTTTGTAGTTGGGAAATCTGAGTAATATAGTTGGGAAATCCGCGTAAAATAGTTGGCAAATTCAAAGTGTCTCCCCCCAATATATTTTTGTGTAACGCACCTGATGATCGCCATTTCAGATTCCAGTATAAAGTACATCAGAAAATTATTTTTGTGCATGCCCCATGTATGTCCAGTATCAGTAATGCTGGTGCAGTATGTTGATTCAGACGTTTCCCAACAATAATTCAGATTTCCCAACAATTTAATTGATACGAAATTTGGGTTTTATTAACCAAACTATATCTAGATCTAGTAACTATCTTATGGCTAGGAGAACCCGCTGTCATTTTTCTGGAGGGCGGTGGGTTTTGTCTTCTATAATCATAAGCGGCTTCAACCTTTAAATGGAAGGTGAAACCTGCTAAGTGCTGCTTCAGCTTCATAGACTTAGAATAGTCTCTATTAAGTAATGTTCCTAATTATAGTAGTTCATCAACTGTTGCATGGCCGTCTCTAGACTAGAGATGGCTATGACTCTTGTTTACCCATTATCTCAAACATTAACATTAGTTAAATTAGTTAATTATTTATTAATAAGTTAAAAAATAACAGTTGTTTAAAGATTTGAAATAGTGTTTTAATTTGAAGAAATTGACTAATTTTGAAAATCTTTGAACATCTGCCATTTTGTGCAGGATCAACCTTTTGAAGTGCAGTTTGCGACATTGTATTCTACTAAAAAAGACCTTTCATTTGATATGCATATTGACCTATGCTTCCGTTTAAGATTTTCTTCCAACTCCTTGTGGGAAGTCCCCCTGAAGAGTTATTGGATCACTGAATATGTGTTAAAATAGAGTTTTATGCCTTGTAACTTTGTACAAAGTATTGTAGCTCTATCTACATTATTTTTTTAAAATATTGGACTTTATTACCACCCTTTATATTTATAGGCAAGCATGTTTCTTTCAAACCTTTTTTCTCAGCTCATGTGCATCGCAAGGAAAATCTACATATACTGTTAGAAAGATATTTTCCCGTAGATGTGCAGAATCCCTTTAAAAATTAAAATAGACCCAAAAATAGCACAAAAAATTAATTTGAAATTAAACAAACATTAACATGGGCCTTATGGGTTGCCATGCTGGTGAATTTTCGATCACATGTTTTATTTACAGCTCCGGGTGAAAATAGAGAAGCCTGTACATTACATAATTTTGGTTCAGTCTTCGACCACCAAACGACCTCTAGTTCATATTAAAGACAACATCTAACATGAGCTTTAATTATGCTAGTAAATTATAAAATTTGGTCTCTTTGAGCTACCCATGTCCCATCAGTATCACATTGAAATATTCAGTAATTGATTTCATCTGCTTAGTAGAAGACCTGATTACACAAATGAATGTATTTAATATATCTCAGTAAAATGGAGTAGCATAATACAGTAGAACCTCGATAACAAGACTCTCATGGGGATTGTAAAATAAGACTTGTTATCAAGGTTGACTTCTTTTCGAGGTTTGTAATAACATGTGATTAGGAGTAAAATAATTTTAAGGGGATTTCAAAATGACACTTGTTAACAAGGGCGGCTTGTTATCGAGGGTCTTCTTATCAAGGTTCCACTGTAATGACTACTTGGCAAATTGTAATGGATGATGTAGACATGAAAAAATGTTTCCTATTAACATAGATTGGGAAACAAATAAAAACAAAAAAATCATAACATACAAATTTAATTGACTAATCTATTTTTTTATACAAGGTTAAAATATAATTTTACTTTTGATAGGCAATGTGTACTTACAAGCTCAACGATACCAATACTGGATTATTTGACATTACCATAAATCAGATTGTAACTGAAAATTATAGGATGAGTATGTTTTCTGTGGATGTAGACAGATCCTTTACCATGATTAATCATTGACTAATTATTCATTCTATGTTAATTCTAACATGTTTAGTCTTATGTTAATCTTCACGATAACAGTGAAAGGAAATGCTAATTTTTGCTGAAACCTAATTTGAATCTTATCTGTAAAGTAAAAGTAACACTCCTTAGATCAAATCTAAAGTCCTTAAATAAAAATTTTTCTTAAGGTTGTAACTTGCTAACAAATTACTATTTTTTACTAGAAATTGAATATAAAAGGTTTTGAAAACAAATAACGTATGTAAAAAATAGGTATATTTATTGTGATATGATACTTTAGCCCCATATGCTGTAAAATAAACTAAAAAAACTTTTGTAGCATAGCTTTAGCCTCGTATCAAGAGTGGCAGGATGACTTAATATAAGTCACACAAAATATAATTCACATTACACCAATACTATGGAGTCTTACGGGCTCAATTCTGCAAACCAATGGGAAATGTCTTAACTTATACACAGCACTTAACAGCAATTTATTGCTTTTCTCAGATTGGCATTAACCAAAGGAAAATTTCACAATTTGATCCGTCTCAAAATTGATTTAAAATAACTTCCTTTATCTTAAATCTACAAACAATTTATATCACACTAACACTCATAAATATGTACAAAAAAAAACTAAAAATGACGAAAAGAAAGAACAGAATGATACAATATAGAAATATATTGATGAAGAAAGTACTGTAATCATCTTGTATTTTGTCAATAAATGTCAATGCACAACCAAAAAATAGCATAACTACTGGACTCTTAAAATAACATCAGCACTGGTCTAAACGCATAAATGTGTACGCAGTCTCAGTTGAAATTGTCTTAAATTGGAATGAATAAAAAAATTATTTTTTGGTACCATCATAGACTATAACACAAAGTGACTATTCTCATACCATTGTAAATTTTGATTGCTAGTGTCAAAAAAATTTCCTTTCTATTATTTTATTGTTAACAAAAAACTAGGTGCTGTACCCGAGCTTCGCAATAGGAAGAAAAATCAGTTACAAAATCATTGACAGGTTTAGAATAAATAATCTATGATAAAGTTTTAGATTAAATAATCCTACTACATATTTGTGTAAAAAATATTACATTTCTTTGGATCAGCTGTCTGAAATTGTGAAATGAGCATTATTGGAAGTTCTTCTTGTTTACATTGAAATGTCAAAGCAAATATAAACATAATGAGTTTATTCATTCTGCCATTGAGATCAAAAAATATTTACTTTTGAAAACCTCATCTCAAAATTTTGGACATCCACAGGGCGAAGCCCGGGTGGAACTCAAAGGAAGTGAATAGACCTAAGACGTTCCTAGATGTATGGACCATTGTGTGGTTAATTTTGGCTATATTGCAACCATCTGCACCGGAGAGAACCAACAATAAAATTGGTTTGAGCTGTCCCATAGCGATGAGAAATCTCCTAAAGGAGCATGTTTAGTCTATGGTGCCGTACCTTAACTAGAGGGTGAGTCTAAGGTGTGTAGCTGGCAAGCAGCATGTGCGACGTAATCAAACTTAAATATAATTTCAACAAATATTTTTTTTACTGCACTCATCATAACAAAAGTAAACATATAGGCTAGTTAATGTATTAATTGGATGAAAGAAAGAAAAAAGAATTATGATAATTTCTCCTAGAAGCTGGAAGACTTTCTGTGTGTGCTCTCTTGATGTGTTCCGTTTAGCAGCGTAAGAGCAAAATTTGCACATATACTGGGCTGGTTTGTTGCACTCATGCTTCCGATGGCGGTCCCACGTTTCCCTCTTGCTGTAGCTCCTTCCGCAGTTGCAAACGAAGACTGTTGTGTCTGCATTGTTCATGAAAAAGATAAACATTATGACTATGTGTTGCCTATTACAACTTAATTAAGTGATAGGCCCACTACTTAATCAAGAATGGTAACTTATCTGGTTAAACAAAAACTTAATGTTCCTCCTAGTTAACTTCCAGATCTTGCGAAGTAGTTAGAATACATTAATACATAAGATTGTAATAATACCCCCTGAAGAAAACCTGCAGAAAAAGTGAATTTCCATTTGCATAATTGGTATTTTACTAAAATATCACCATTAAAAAGTCACATTTATTCCCTACGCCTAGTTAAATAACAGTTAGTTTAATATGAGTAGATAGGTTTGCTGCTACAGGGAAGGTAGCAAAGTGTTCTTATAGTTAAATGTTAATAGTATAGTATTAAATAAATACATTTTACAAATTTGATCAAGAAGTATTTATAAACAAGCAAACTACAAAAGTTTTACTTATTCTCCATAAGAATAACATGGGAAAAATTTAGTTTTTTTAATATTCTCTTTAACGATCAGATGCATGACAACGCTTCAATATACTATTTCTTTTTTTAAGCTCTACAAAATGGTTTAGAAATAAATTACATTTTTTTTTTGTTTTTCTGGTACAAAATGGTAATTACCCCCATTTTTACCCCATAATACTCCTCCCCATAAACACCCATTCCCATTGTCCGATTATGCTGGTTCATGAACTCGTTTGAATAGATGTAGGTTTATACCAAATTTCATCAAAATTGGTTCATTTTTGCTCCAGTTATCGTGCTAACAGACACATATATATATGAATTTAAACGGATGGTGTTTTTGGCCTCTGGGGACCTCAAAACGTAGGCGGATTTTTTTTTCTTTTTTTTTGGTGTCTACGCCAGTGGCATTTTTGTAATTATGTCAAACACTTTTAAGGGAAAGCGGTCCAAACCCATTAAAGTTTTGTGGATGTTAAAGATTTGCCACCCTTGGGCTATCCAGAATTGGCTGCTCCCACCTCCAACCGTGTAGCTTTTCTTGGGGCAGGTCGACGCCAAATCACAGTGGTCAAATTACTAAATAAGTAGCTGAATCTCCCCGCTAACTTTTGACTTATCTTATTCTCATCGCTATATTATTCTTGTTATGTTTTAATTGCATACTAACTCAATAGTAATTAATTACCAAAGCCACGAGAATAATTTTAAATATGAAAGTAAACAAGTGGTTTGATAATAAGATTAAAAACATTTGAAGTAAAATGAAGTTTTAATTAAATTATCATAGCCTAGTTCGGAGCATTGTTTTACAACAGATAAATAATCATAAATACTATTTTATTAACTCGGGTGGGAATGGAATAAAATGGTTAATAGCAAAAAAATGTACTGTAATGTACTCAAAACTTCACTTCAAACACCTGATCACTGCATTGACATCATAAACATGTCAAAAAAACAGTGGATACCGTACCTAATATTGCTCGCATCAGTAACTCGCAAGAAAATGAGTCATCACGCCACTTCACTGTCCGCTGATTCAAACGAGTCAATGGCTGTTTTCGGGAATGGAAGCTTGGCTGGTGTGTGATGTTAGTGGAGGATAAATGTGGAAAGGTTGGATCATTACAGTACGTCTAATTTTCAACCTTTGATTTTCCTAGTTTTAAGTTTATTTTTTTTATTTATTTAAATATATATTTAAAATTTAAAACTGAAAAAAACTTCTAAAATTAGCCGCCCTTATAAATCTGCCTCAAAACGAAAAAGAAAATTGGTCCTGGGTCCAGGTCTTACCATGAGACCTACGGTACTAGCTTATTCCCTATATGGGAAATTCGCTAAAACAACTCTAAAATTAGTAAATCTAATACCAGCCAAGTATTTAAAAAAAATAATGCAGGTACAATCCTATACTCCCAAATAATCTTAAAAGTAACACTTAAGACAAAACTGTGTCCTACAAATGAAGTATTAAGGGTGTAAAATAAACCATGGATTAACAAAATAGAAAATAGAAGTTAAGGAAAAGCTTATTGGCTGATTAGGATTATTATGTACAAGACAATAGACAATAGGCTAAAGGGATAGGGATCAGCTAGCTTACCTGGTAGATAGAGTCCAGATTAGCTTTGGTAACACACAAAACTAAGTTAAGTTTTACTGCTTTGTCCATCATGTACATCAACAGCCAAAGCAACACTTTTTGTAGATGACACCTCCCTCTCCTTTTCCAGCTGCGACATCAACAGCTTAGAACTCAGCCGGTGAAGAACTACCTTTGGTGAAGCCAGCAATTTGATTGAGTGGTTTGATGACAGTTTACTCTCTGTCAACACAGAAAAGCAACAAACACAATTAATGCACTTTTCTATTTAAAAAAAGATGCTACAATGGTTTTAGTTTACTTCTGGATAACACTGCAGTACACCCAAAGGACAGAGCTAAGTTTCTGGTACTACTTCCTTCAGCACATCAAACATGTTTTAAAAAAAAGTGATCTCCGGAATCTTTGTGCTGGGTAGTTTAAAATAAACTGCAAACTACAATGTTTTTATATCGATATATTACACACTCCTCCACCTTCATTTAGCATATGGGGTCATTAAAGTAACATTAAAAAATTGTTATTCAAAGGTTTATTGCGGACATTTTCCACCACGATTGTAAAAAACAATACACAACGTTTCGGGATCTGGAATCTGATCCCGTCCTCAGGTGAAAAAATTTAACTAACACATTACAACTAACAATACACAAACGCCCAACCTAAGTTGGAATACACTACAGAAGGTAGCAGTCAAAAATATGCACTGTATAACAGTCAAGTCATGATACAACAACATGCAAATAATAACCAATCACAAAACACTATAATCTATAAAAGGTGTAACGTAAAAAGCTCACACAATGGAACACTAATAGCACCGTTCGCAATGACTCCAGTCTCATGGGTGGAGTCATTGCGAACGGTGCTAATAGTGTTCCATTGTGTGAGCTTTTTACATTAGGCCCTACACCTTTTATAGATTATAGACCGATGGCTCAATCGGTTACATATACAGGGTGAATAAAAAGTCAAGACCCCCCCATCTAATATTTTTCCAAGTAAATATACAGAGATATCCTTTTGGGGGTCATGCAATCTTAGCAGGAAGTTTCTTTTTATGACTTTGAAATTTTTGAGTGTCCCCCCAAAAGGGGGGATTTGGGGGGTAACTCAAATATTTTAAATGTAAACCCCCTTCAAATAACACCTCATTTTAAAGTGTTTACAAAAACTTAAAGAATGGTGAAAACTAGAGGTCGCTATCTCTTCTCTGTCCAAAATGGTAGCCCGTCAAATGTTGTGGAAAATCAATGGTAAAATTGGTTTGTAATTGTAATATTGGCTACCATTTTTGATAGAGAAGAGATAGCGAACTCTGGTTTTCGACATTCTTTAAGTTTTTGTAAACACTTCAAAATGAGGTGTCACTCAATGGGGGTTTAAGTTTAAATTTTTGAGTGTCCCCCCAAAAGGGGGGATTGGGGGGGCAACTAAAAACTTTTCAATGTAAAACCCCATCAAGTTACACCTCATTTTGAAGAGTTTACAAAAACTTAAAGAATGGTGAAAACCAGAGTTCGCTATCTCTTTTCTATCCAAAATGGAAGCCAATATTACCATTATGAACCAATATTAACCATTGATTTTACACAACATTTGACGGGCTACCATTTTGGTCAGAGAAGAGATAGCGACCTCTAGTTTTCACCATTATTTAAGTTTTTGTTAACGCTTTAAAATGAGGTGTCACTTGAAGGGGGTTTACATTTAAAATATTTGAGTTACCCCCCGAATCCCCCCTTTGGGGGGGACACTCAAAAATTTCAAAATCATAAAATGAAATTTCCTGCTAAGATTGCACGACCCCCAAAAGGATATCTCTGTATATTTACTTGGAAAAATATTAGATGGGGGGGTCTTGACTTTTTATTCACCCTGTAGAATTTGAAACCATGGCAGCAGTGTTGTGGGTTTGAGGCCAACACAATTTATCAGCAGTTCATTATTGTACCATATTGGTTTACGACTTTGCTTGATAAGGTCCACACACAGGCTCGATGCCCGTTTGGATGGAGAAATGCCAGATTAATGGAGGCTGCCAAAGGTTTTGTATACCTACGTTAAAATCTAAATAACTCAATAAGATTCAAACTATAAAACTTTGTAAACGTTTTTTTTTCTTTTCCCCATGGCAAGAACTATAAATGAATATTTTTTTAAGTTACCGGTACCTTGTTTTGTAACCTTCTCTCTTGCAGCTAGAAGACTTTCTTTGTGTGCTCTCTTTATGTGTTTTTGAAGAGTTGAGTTTCGTTTAGCACCGTAAGAGCAAAATTTGCACATATACTGGGGTGGTTTATTGCACTCATGCTTCCGATGGCGGGCCCACGTTCCCCTCTGGCTGTAGCGTCTTCCGCAGTTGCAAACAAAGACTGTTGTGTCTGCATTGTTCATGAAAAAGATCAACATTGTGACAATGTGTTGTCTATATAGTTTGTACAACTAAAAAAGTATTACTACTTAATCAAGAAAGGCAATTCATTTTGTTTAACAAAAACCTAATTTTCCTCATGGTTAAGTGCCAAAACTTGAGAAGTAGTTTGAATATATTATACTCTGTTCACAAAAGTTAGGCAGTTTTAGGGGAAGGAATCCATCCCCTCCACTTGAACCAACTTTTAAAAATAATAGCTCAACAGCTGAGGTTTGCCAAAATATAAATCAGCTGCACTATATTAAGTAAAACAGTAGTAGGGAAACTTCCCTCAAACTACCTAAATGTTTTGAACGGAGTATGATACATCAGATTGTAATGAAATATTTATATATATTTTAACTTGAAGTCCCAAATCTAATACAGTAGCAGGTATGCATTTATTAAATAGGCCTACACCTTTCTAGAAGCTATGCAATGCGTGTTTAATAAATGCTTAGGTCTAGCTCCTATTAAATATGCCTGTTAAAGAATTGAAAGATCTTTGAAGTATAATAGTATACCCAGATATCTAAAAACCAATGATTTTGCTTGCAAGAAAAAAAAATAAGTTTAATTAATCTTTTTTTTTCACGCAATAAAAATATTTTTGACTTAGTTATGGCTGATTTTTGTGTACAAACAAAATGCCTCTAAACACTGGCGAATGGTTAGGGATCAGAGTTTCCTTTCCTCTCAGAAAGTCAATGAATCTTTTCACAATATTGGTAACTTTCAAAAAAGTAATGCAGATACAATCCTACATTCCTTAATAACCTTAAGTAGTGCCATTGACTATTTGAAACTAAAGGTAATACTGAAGCCACAATGACTACTGCAAGTGTGTAAAATGTGTTGAATAAACCATGAATAATAACAAAATAGAAAATTGAATTTCGATCATGAATACAAGATAACAATTACCCGTTACATAGGCTAGATTAAAGAATTTGGTTTGAAACAAATCAATAAATTAGCCCAACGGTACTGAAGTTAAAACTTATTTTTTTTAGGTTCCAGAATACAAATAACTTATGCATGTTTAGAATATTGCAGGTAGGTACTTTAAAGAATAAACACCATAACAAGTTTTAATAACGAGGCCTGTCAGACACTTTTGAAATAAGTTTTAACCTACATTTGTAAGGATTAAAAGTAGACAAAGTATGGAAATATTTTATTAGGCCTACACCAGTAACATAATTTTTTATTTTACTACTACGAGCCATTTATGTACCAAATAAAATGGAGGTGTATGCAAGGTTACATGTCCAATCATCCTTCAAAAACGTAAAACATAAATATGCTCTTTGGTTGGGTGAGGATACAACAGATGTGTTTTCGATACAATTAATTCAGAAAAACATTCCGAAAAACTTTCAAAAATGTCTGTGTAACACTCGAGTTATCGGCCTCAAAGCAGGTACCACTGGGAACCTAAATCGTCTGATGGGAATTCGATCGATGTAATTGTGGATCCTTTTCAAGTGTATTTTCAACGTTGATTTCTGCTTGGCTTTAGTCACAATGGGGACATTGGAATGTAGGTAGTTTGTTGCATTCAAATTGCTTATGTCTGCGTAGATTGTGCAGATAGTGGTAGCTGCGGTGGCAGATGTCGCAGCAGTAGGTTTTCCGCAGCTCGCTTACAGTGAGGTAGGGGCGAGGAAACAACGGACGATTGACTAAATGAGCCGTCATATTCGGATAGAGCATGCTCACTTGTTTTTCTGCAAGTTAAGGTGATAATTAGTGCTGTTGTAGGTGTTTATATGTAAAAGGAATTAATTTAGGCCTACATTTTTTTTATTCATAAGAACATGAACTGTCTGTAACTATTGACTGAACTCTACTACAGTAATATAGACAGCCAATTACCGTTGCATTACATGAACAAGCCAGTAATAAGAATTCAGTGATGAGAAAATGGACAAGGCCAGTTTCAAACCAGCAATGTCCGTCTAGCCAGAGACACTACTTTTGAACTACACAGTGTTCACCTTCACGCCGACTTGTCACGATTTGTCTACTTTTCAAGCCACTTTGTTTACATGCTGAATACAGCAGGATGAGTAGAAAGCAGTTGAATGATCTGTATGGCTTTGTTACTGGTTACGATAAGTCATTTTTTTAGCTGAAACCATTTATTGAGTCAAGAAAAGCTCGATGAATTTTCTCAGGATTTAACAAGTGAACTTCTGATTATCAGGCTAACATTAAACCACTCAGCTTCCTAGCTACTTACCCTTAAAACATTATTGGCCAAATAAAAAACAGATCTGGCCTCAAATACCTAGATAGAAATTACAGATCTCAACTTAAAGCCAGATCCGACCGTATGTCTAGATGACAAAATTCTATATCTAGCCCTGTACACGTGGCAAATTTCATTAAAATCTGATGATTTTAATTGAAGTTATCGTGTTTACAGACACATCTTCATTTTTATTAATAGGGCGTAGTGTTTTTGAACGCTGGGGACAACAAAATGTAAATAGTAAAGCAAATGTTTACCCTTTCTAAAGGTTAATCCCCAGGAATTTAACAGAATCGGCATCCTCCAGGGTCCACCATAACCATCGCTAAATACCTGCAATATCTGTTGCTGGAAAACAAAAGGCATAGGTACCTACTTTGATTTGGAATTGGTTGTTTTCAAACTCATCTCAGACAATTTTAGGGCAACCCTGGTGTAGATATCTAAGTTATTAGCCTAGACGCCTTCTATTGTTAGGCATATATACAGTAACAGTATTATTCTTTGTTAAATTTTATTTTATTGTTGTATCTGTTCTTTGTTATATTATTATTGTTATATTTAGTCTTTGTTCATTGTTATATTAATTTATTGTATTCTAAGTGCAGTAGAACTCCAATTATCCGAACTCCAATTATCCGAATCTCCAATTATCCGAATCGCTTATTTCACCATTTTTTAAAACGTAAAGCTATAGTAATAAGTTTTGCAAAATATCAAAGAATTGTTATTAAACACATTTAGCCAATTTTGGACTTTGATGGAACACTATTGACTTAATAACATGTATAGAACACTTGTACTATGAGCATTGTAAACTGTAAAAATGTTCTGATTTAAATTATTATTAATTAAAAGTTCACTTAGTACCGAAAATGAGGATTTTTCTTTAAAATTCCCAGAATTCCGGTAAAACTCCGATTATCCGAATTTTTTATTATCCGAATGGGGTCTGGTCCCTATTGATTCGGATAATCGGAGTTCTACTGTATACCGATTTGATTGTTCAGTTGTTTCCCATCTAAGTATTATTTAAGCCGTTGGCATTTATAAATCGAAATAAGTGCTAATTAGCCCAATCCATAAACAAACAAAGTGTCTTATCATTTAAATCATTTTCATTGCAAGCTTCCCTAATGTTGTTAATTAAATTGTCCTTCTCAAACTTAACCTAGGAATACCATATATGTATTAGGAACACTCCGGTAGTTTAAGTCAACACAGTTGAAATTGTATTTAACTTAAAATAAGTCTAATCCTACCATCTTTCTCCATGCCAGTTTGTTTGTTGTTGAAGTAGGCTATTCTTGAATCTTGAATTAATCCTTTGCCTAGCGACTAGGCCGTCTTCTAGTGATGAAATTTTTAGGTTAAAATCATAAACCACCTGATAATTAATTATTTGCTATACATAACCTTTCCGGCAGTTGTGGAATAATATATTAAAACATGTTAAGGCTTTAATCTAGGCCTAATTTGTTAAAGATAAAACGGCGGTAAGATACGATGTGAATTCGGTCACAAACCAAACCAATAACAGCAAACTAAACCTAAACGACATCAACACAAAAACAAGCGACCACAGGACCCGTTCCTTCTTCTTCTTTCTAGTTTGGTTCTTTGAAAGCTGGCTTGGTTTAAACTTACCATGTAGCTACACAACTTCCTCAGTAAAATTTTCCCGGTTTTTTTAACGTTAGCAGGATGCTAGTTTGGAAATTTTAATTATAATATTTTGTTGGGCTATTTAATATATCAAAGTTGGATTTCTGTTTCTTTAAAAAATTTCAGTAATGGTGGCCATAGCTTGTAATTCTTTTCCATTAGGAGTGTTTGTACATTTTTGGTGGTAGATTCTTATTTGCTGTTTTTATTTTTAACGGACAAACCATTACATACAGGATATTATTTTTGTGATACAACTATTGATTGAGTTGGTGAGTGATGACTAAATAACAAAAAATGCAAGCAGTAATAACGATAACAATACTAATAACAACAAAATAACAAAAGGAATAACGATGAAGTAACAATAAGGACGAAGATAACATTCTTCATTGTCTCATTCTATTGAAAGCTGGGCATTCTGTAATGATGTGTTCTGTTGTTTCATGATGTCCTGGTTCACCCCTGGTGCAGTATGGAGATTCCCTCTTTTTCTCAAGTAGTGTTCCAACATCTGTTTTGTTTGGAAGCAGCTAGTGGCTAATAGCCAATTTGTGTATTTTTAAGAATACACAAGCTTGCTTGATGGGATATAGGAAATATTTACTCCACGTTATGCAGAAATAGATTTAACTATAATATATTGTTTTGGCTTTCAATTCTACGTTCGTATATGATTCATTGTTAATATTTTAATAAATTTATGTTCATATATTTAAATGAATAATACGTGAATTAATGAACTAATGTCATCTGTCTGCCAAGTTATCTTATGGGACGTCTGGCGCGAAACAACACTACTTGCAACGTTCCCAATTCTACCCACGGCTGCCTTTTTCAATTCAATTCAAACATTCTTTATTCATAAATTTGCACAATGGTACAACAAATAGTGTCAATGTTTACAAAAAGAAATAGTAATGACAATAATCCTATAATATAAACACTTACACTAATTTCGTCTAAATTAAAAGTAAATTAATTAATGTATGGAAAATTCATTTTATTATCAATTGATTTATTTGTTACTCATCAATTACTTTTAACTCTGTGGTTTTCGAAAAAAAATGGTTAGAGTATGGGGCTAATTTTACCAAATATTCCTTTAAGTCATTCTTGCATTTACTTAAGTTGTGTTCACCAAGAAATGACCTTGGTAAATGAAACAAAAATTTTGTTCCCATATATTTCGTTTTCTTTTTAAAAAATTCTAAATTATGTGGTTCTACCGGTCTATTTAATCTGGTGTTGTACGGGTGAACGTTGTTTACAAAATTTCGATTTTCAAGTTGTTTCACATACATTACAGTCCCTAAAATGTAGAGAGCATAAACCGTTAGGATTTTTGTGTAAATAAATAAATGTTTAACAGATTTACCCCTTTTCAACTTAAAACATAATTCGCATTTTTTTGTTTCCGCAAGATTTTATCTAAATTTGTCTGCGTTGTTGCTCCGTAAATGCTTATTCCGTAGGACAGGTGAGAATGAATTAAAGAACAATAAACTGTTTTTAGTGTTTCTAATTTACAAAATTTAGCCATTTGTCTCAAGGCAGACAAACCTGTTGACATTTTGTTAACAACATGTTTTGTATGATCGTCCCAGCTCAGATTAGCATCAATGAAGAGTCCCAGAAATTTTGTAACTTACTTCTACTTGGTCTAATTGATTGTCATCTAAATAGATTTCTGGTTTTAGTTTGACCCTTGCTTGTTTCGTACAAAAAGATATGAAAGTGGATTTACTTGAATTAAGAAGGTTTTTACCATCAAGGAAATTTTTAATAATTGAGAGACTAATAAATGATGCAATTTCAATACCCTCCTTGGAATCCCCTGTCACAGTGATATTAGAGTCATCGGCATATAAACATACGTTACTGTTTACGGGTGGTAGTAGTAGGTCAGGTAGCCCTTTTATGTAACAAAGAAACAATAAAGGTCCTAAAATTGACCCCTGTGTTACTCCGTGTTAAATTTTTAAATTTTGAGAGCCTTTAACTCCAAGCAACGCCTTGTGGTAACGTTGCAAGTAGAGTTGTAGGCTTAACAGCTGTTTTGTTTGGAAGCAGGTTTGGTATTTGTGTATTTACGAAAGCTTGGTTACTGGACTATGAAAATATTGATTCCGCTTAAAAATGTACAGATATAGATTTACAATTCATATTGTTTTAGTTTTAAATTCTGCATGTTTTATTTTCAATATTTTGATAAATTTATGTTCTTGAATTTAAATCACAAAAGTGCGAATTAATGAGCTGATGTCACCTGTCTGTTATATTATCATATTGGACGTATGACACTAAAACCCCCTATTTGCGACGTTGCCAATTCTACCAGGCTGCGGCCTGGAGTTAAAGGTGGCTGTGCTGCTATAAGTGAGTGAGTGCCACCCATCCCACTCAGAACTGAGTACGGTTGTCGCACCGAGGCCCTGCGTCAGTGGCGCATATTGTTGTTTTGCAGACCTTCATACTTCATGGTTTTTAATCGAATTGTTGAGACTACCAGCCAACGCAAATAGATATTAAGCTGTTGCAATGTTTAGTGTTTATAATCTGACCTGTCAATCGGACACTGTTTATATTTATTGTGACGTAGTAAACCAAGGCCCTACTAGAAAAACAGGCCATGCTGTAACGCGGGCTGCGCAACACTACGTCACAGTGGTGGATTGTTCATAGTTGTGTTAAAATTTGACAAACAGCAGCAAGCTTGTTTAAAAAACATATGAGATATGGTAAGTGAATCTATCCACAAGTGTGACGACGTTTATCAAGGCCCCACTAGAAAAATGTTTTTTTTAAGTTTTTTCTAGTGGGGCCTTGCGTGGATGCTGCAGAATAGCCTGTTCTTCTAGTGGGGCTTTGACATGTCACCTATGTTCTGACACCTAATCATTCATTTTAATTATGAAAGTTGAGTTTCATTAAAATAATAAAGGAATGCAAACTTGAGAATTGAAAGAAATACAATTTTTGTATAACTTGTTTTGTTATTTCTAATCATTACAAATAGATAAAACCACAGAGTAAGATATATCTTACTTCTCTGTGATAAAACATACATACCCTCCCACCCTGGCTACCTACTATTTAAATCTATGGTTACACATGGAATTTGAAGCCATGGCAGCGTGTTGTTGGCTTGAATACCACTGCTTACTTACTTACTTACTTGATACTTGAAGCATGCCAACACAATTTATATCAGCAGTGTTCATTTTTTAACCATATCGGCTCACCTCTTACTTTGCTTGATAAGGTCCACGCTTCACGCACAGGCTCGGCTTATGTGGATACGCTCATCAACAACGAATGTGTTCAATGTGATTCTAAACCCGTGATCGTACTCACCTGCTTCTTGAGGATGCTGCACCACAAACATTATTTACATAGTAGGCCAACCGCATTACAATTAAAGTAGGCCTATAACAACTGTTAGTGTAAAAAGAACATGTCACGCTCCAATAAAAAACTAGACGAAATAGCTTGGAGATTAGTATCAGAATATCTGCAAGAAGAAAGCAGATTCCGTTTGATCCTGATGAATGCGAGTACCGTTACGGAAAGCTTTTTGATGGTTCAAACTTGACCCAGCTGTCCTTTAACTATGGACATTTAATAACAGGTCTTGTCTAATGAAATAGCTTAAATTAGCTCTAAGTCAGTAAAAACCTACATGGCCTCTCGCTCCATTCTACAATCATCCTTCAATCATGTTTCGGTTAAAGTATTATATAGCTAGGGGCGAGTTATTGTTTATGATTAGATAGTTTTATTTGGTTAATCGAGGTTTTAAATGACTGAGATAACAAGAAACTAATTTTAAACAAAACATGACCTCTACAGTGCACGAGTGCACCAGACAGGACTAGCAATAAATCTGGCTTCAGCTGTTCCATAAGGATAGATGAGAAATCTACTCAGGGAGTATGATTTATCTATGATAGTAGTTAATTTAATAAAGGCTACAAACAAGGCAACTTGAAAATAAATATCTGTAAAGGCATTACTACAACACATTTACAACACAAGGCATTGTTACAACACATTTGTACCAAAAATTAAGAATTCTTTATTTTGTACACCTTCTCTTAAAAAGACACTTAGTGATGGTAGAAAATTTTAATTGTACATTGAACAAAATCAACTTAGGCAGAATTTCCCAGACTTTGAGACTCCCGTAGCTTATCTAGATGTTTGTTGTGAAGATGTCCTTGCAAGTGGACCTTCTGGCGTCCTCGGTAGGGACAGTATGGACAGCTGTACTGAGGCACTTTACCGCATTCTAGCCTCTTGTGGCGGTTCAAACTGTCCAACCACCGATACATCCGGCCACACTTATCACAGCTGAATAACAAACCATTATCTGCAAACAACGTGGTTGTAATTATTTATCTACGATAAAATGAGCGAAAATTTCTCATTTCATTGTGGACCTGATGGTTCTCTGTGATAATTTGAATATAGCATTTAGTTAGGTACTTAAATCAGTCTATTGTTATTTTGTTTTATCATAAAAGATGCATGGTACTACGTAATTAAATCATCCATTGAAACACAAAAATACCTTTTATCAGATAAAAAATCACAAAACTTGCTGAAAAATATAAAATAAAATCTCAAATAATGATGTAACTTTTATGGGATTATATCAAATAGTAGTACCATACTCTTTTCACAAAATTTAGGTGATTTGAAGGGAAGTTCCCCTACTACTTGTTTTAGCTTAGGGTTTGAGTTTTTTTAATATTTCAGATTTCAATGTTTATAGTACTAATCACCCTGATAATAGGGCGCATGGCGGAACAGCGGTGCTAGTTCACAAAAAACTTAAACAATTTGAACTACCTAA